TTAAAGTATCTTTTTGTCACAGAGATATATATGTATACAGAGGGTTTCAAAAAAATGTATACACATTTTAAGAAAGGAGAAAACTGTATTAAAATTGTAATAATATATACTGATAACGAAAGATGAATACAAGTGATGTGTAATACATTTTTTTGGCACCCCTGTATATAAAGTATTTTTAAACAAAACAATTTTTCTGAGATTGGCTTTAAAAGTAACTGGGAGAATGAAGTGGGAGGTAATAATGAAACAGACTTTTACATGGATAATTACATCGATAATTGCTGAAGCTGGGTGATGGGTACATGTTTTTTTTTCTCAACTTTTATTTCTCTTTCATGCTTTCCATAATAAAAAGTTGAACAAAATAACTGGAGCCATTGAGTGCAAATAAGTCTCAAGGGGCTTCACTCTAAAGGGGAGCAGAGAAGTAGAGTAGTAGCTGGCAGGGGAAAAGATTTATTCAAGTTTTTTGTCAAGATACTAGACATATTAATAAATACATGTACATACCTTGTAGCTCGCAGATTTAATTCCATCAGGGACTTCATCCTGAAAAAGAAAAAAATGCTTTTATAAGACATTTATTCTACCTTCTGAAAAAATATTTTAAATTTCTATGATTTATGAGAAAAATTCATAAAACAAGTTATGGAAGTTAACAAATATTTTAAACTGAGAATAGTTAGGCAGTTTTTATATTATTACAAGTAAACAAAAAAAATTCAGCAACAAATTATTCTATGGACTGCTGATAATATATTACAGCATGGAAATGTAAATAGGTAGTTGCTTAGCTATTATTCCTTTTGATGCTCAAATAGTCCATATTTGGCCACTAGGGAACTCACTAAGNAAGATATTTAGATAACTTACAAAGTGATCTCCCTCATAAGTCTAGTACCGCCCTGACACCGTCTATAGTTATTACAATATTACTGACTATATTCCCTATGCTTTATTGTACAACCCCATGGCTATTTTGTAACTGCCAATTTGTACTTCTTAATCCCTTCACCTTTCTCACCCAGCTCCCCAACCATCAGTTTGTTCTCTGTATCTATGAGGTTGTTTCTGTTTTATTTGTTAATTTCTTTTGTTTTTTAGATTCAATATGTAAGTGAAATCATATGGTATTTGTCTTTCTCTGTGTGACTTATTTCACGTAGCATAATACCCTCTGGGTCTATCCATGTTGTTGCAAATGGTAAAATTTCATTCTTTTTATGGCCAAGTAATATTCCATTGTATATACGTATGTACCACATCTTCTTTATCCAAACATCTATCAATGGACACCTGGATCTTGTTTTCTTATCCATTCAGCTACCCTATGTCTTTGGACTGGCACATTTAATCCATTTACATTTAAACTAATTACTGATAGGTATGCAGTTTTTTCATTTTATTATTCATATTTTTTTCTTCTTCTTAAAAAAAGTCCTTTTAACACTTCTTGTAATACTGGTTTGGTGGTTATTAAGTCCTTTAGCTTTTTCTTGCCTGGGAAGTTCTTTATCTGTCCTTTAATTCTAAATGATAGTCTTGCTGGGTAATCTTGGTTGTAGGAACTTGGTTTTTCCTCACTTTGAGTATTTCATGCCAATCCCCTCTGACCTGCAAAGTTTCTGGTGAGAAATCAGCTGACAGTTTTATGGGCGCTCCCTTGTAGGTAATTAACTGCTTTTTTCTTGCTGCTTTTAAGATTCTCTCTTTGTCTTTAACCTTTGGCATTTTAATTATGATGTGTCTTGGTGTTGGCTTCTTTGGGTTCATCTTGTTTGGGACTCTTTACACTTCCTAGACTGTATGTCTATTTCCTTTGCCAAGATAGGGAAGTTTTCAGTCATTATTTCTTCAAGTAGGTTTTCAATGCCTTGCTTTCTCTCCTCTACTTCTGGTACACCTATGATGTAAATGTTGTTATGCTTGATGTTTTCCCAGAGGTCTCTTAAACTATACTGATTTTTTTATTATTATTTTTTTCTTTTTGCTGTTCCAGTTGGGTGTTTCCCACTACCTTGTCTTCCAAATCACTGATTCAATCCTCTGCTTCATCTAATCTGCTATTGATTCTATCTAATGTATTCATTACAGTTATTGTATTTTTCATTTCTGACTGCTTCTTTTTTCAGGCTTTTATGTACTTTTTTGTGTTTCCCATCTCTTTGTTGAAGTTCTCATTGACTTCATCTATTCTTCCCTTAAGTTCATTGAGTATCCTCTATTTTGAACTCTGTATCTGCTAGGTTGCTTGCCTCCATTTTGTTTTGTTCCTTTTCTAGATTTTGTCCTGTTCTTTCATTTGGGTCATGTTTCTTTGTCTTCTCATTTTGGCTGCCTCCCTGTGCTTGTTTCTATGTATTAGACAGATCTGCTATGTCTCCCAGTCTTGGCAGGGTGGCCTTGTGGAATAGGTGTCCTGTGGGTCCAGTGGCACATTCTTCCTGTTCACCTGAGTTGGGTGCTTCCAGGTGCATCCTTTCTGTGGGCTGTGTGTGCCCTCCTGTTGTAATTGAGCCTTGATGGCTGTTGGCCCATCAGTGGGTGGAACTGACACTCAGGCTAATGGGTTCTGAGGATGGGCCATGACTACAGCAGATGAGCTATTCTATGGGAGCTGGCCCCATGGAGTGAGATTCCCTGTAGTGGGACTCTGGTGCCTGCTGAGTCCACCCTTGCAGTGTGTCATTTGTGGAGCTAATTGGGTGGTGCTCTGGTGTGATCGAAAGCCAGTCATCAGGTGTGTTGGTTCTGGGTCCTCGTAGAAGGGGCTCCGGTGTAGTCCCAGGTCACCCGCTGCCTGTACCTGGCCCAAAGCCACCTGGTAGGAGCTACAAGGAAATCTGCAATTGGTAGCTGCCTGTGCTGGGCTTGGAGGTGCCTGGGGGATGCTATGCTGTGAACCGAGGCTGGCTGATACTAGTGCTGGAATGGGGGCTGCTTGGCAAGAGGAACAGGGCATGACAATGCCAGCCGCTGCTTGTTGGGGTTTGTGGCACTTTCAGAGATTTTAAGGAAGCCCGTAGCATGTGCTGAGGCCAGCCACTTGTGAGTAACAGCTGCTGAAAGAGGTTTGGGCCTGTAGGTGTGTTAGGTGGGGCAAGTTCTCAGGCAATCACCAGGATGGGTCAAGTTTGATGGGACTCAGATTTAGTGCCTGCCTGTGCCTGCAGGCTGGGTAAGAGAAGGTCTATGCAACTAACAAAATGGCAGCGAGCTGCCCCTCCAGTCTTCACCCAGACACCAGATTCAGTTCCTCCCCATATGCTTTTCAAGCTGCTGCCCAGCGCTAGAGCTCAGAGCAAGTGTGTCCATCAGTGAGAAAGTCTGCACTCAGGCCCTTTAAGAGGAATGCCTGGGAGTCCAGCAGCCCTCTGTCTCACCCAGCTGGACTCCCCACTGATTTTCATAGCCAGATGTTTTGGGGGCTCCTCTTTCCAGCATTGGTGCTCCAGGCTGGGGAGCCCAGTGTGGGGCTGGGACCCCTCACTCCTCAGAGGGGATTTCTGCCACTGAGATATCTCTCTTGATTTTTAACTGCCACACGTGGGTGTGTGACTAGCCCACTTTGCATCTCTACCCCTCTTACCAGTCCCAATGTGGCTTCTTTGTATTGTTAGTTGTAAGAGTTCTGTTCAGCTAGTCTTCAGGTGGTTCTCAAGGGTGGTGGTTCTATAATTTAGTTGTAATTTGGATGAGGTCATGAAAGGAGGAGAGCATAGCATTTACCTACACTGCCACCTTGACCGGAAGTCCTAAATACCTTATTTTAAAGTCACACATTTCTACTTTACTTATTAAACGTTTAAACTTTTTAAAATATTTAAACTTTGTGGTTGATATTTGTAATCAAAAGAAAACTAACCCTTTTCCTGAGTGCCATTTGCAATACCGAAGGTAAAGGAGCGTTTCCATCTCTTATTTGCAAAGCAGCAACTTCCTTTCAACTTCTCTAACACGTTTCCAAATAACACCTCAAATCCCAAATCTCTCAGCAAAACAGCAAAATCCAAGGATACAAAACAGTGAAAAAGATATTTAAAGTGTTTCTGTCCCCTGTGAAATAGTATGGCCCCAACACACACAAATGTTATTTCTGATAATAAATGAATAGTAAATCAATTTAAAAGGAACAATTTAGATGCTCACCCTCGATTTTGTATAAAATGTAATTTTTATGAACAGAAAAGCCAACCAGTGGCTTTAAGAGTAAAGACATGAAAATACGAGCTACTGTAAGATGCAGAAAACTGGAAGTTTTTTTGAATTTTTTGCTCATCTGTTACTAACAGAAAGAAATGATCTTAATATGCTGTAATCAAATTTGTGGAGTAAGGACCATTCTCCCAATTCAAACCAGTTATATGGATGTCACGGTAAGAGAATCTCATTTCAGCAAGGACACACAGGACGAGTAAGGTCACAGGGCAGCCGTGACCCCAAAGATGCCAGGCACTGGGCTTAGACACAGAAAAGCCACAGGAAGCCATTCTCCTGCCTGACGACAAGATCTGACAGCAGCCTCCTCCCCGCACCCACACCAGCCTGTCTTGGCCAGAAATGCTGCCGAGGGCACCCAGCACAGGCACAGCGTACATACACAGTTCCAGGAAAAGTTAGAAGTTAGAAAAACCCAGCTTCTGCGGAAATAAATATTGAGTGTGTGTGCACACTGTGCACACCCTCTCTAGGTAGGGAAGACCAACAAAATGCATGTCAACTAGGTAAAAACATACACCGTGCACCCACACCTCTCGCCCCACGCCTGATCGGAAGCAGTGGGAGACCAGTCCACACCGACCCATGCGAGCTGCGGAGAACTCAGCTCCGGCCAGGGCGCGGAAGCACAGGAGGCTGGTTGCTCGTCGGGCCGGTTGGAGATGCAAAAATGCACACACCGCCGGCCCCCAGCCTCTCCCAGCCCCTCACCTGCCCGGGCGCGCGGGACGGAGGCGGGGAGCACCGGGATGAGCAGCACCGCCTCGCACACCCCTCACCTGACAGAAGCACCTCTGCGCCGCCGTCTCTGGGGTCTGCTGCTCGCCGTGGCCCGAGCGGAGCAGCCACACGGCTCCCAGGAGGCCGATCAGGAAGCCCCAGTGGCTGCCCATAGCCGCTGTTGCCGCTCGTCGCCTTGCACCTCGGAGAACTCAGCACTCGGGCGCAGGCCGTGCGTCCGCAGATGAAGCCAGCGAGCGCCGGCCCCCGCCGACGCCCCACCTCCCGGCCGCCTCCCAGGCCCGCCCTCGGTTCTCCAGCCTCTCAGCAGCCGCCACCGCCCGGTGGAACCTGCGGACGTGCCGAGGCGCCCGCACCGGCAGCCCAGGGCCGTGAGTCGGCTTCCTTCTCCGCGTGTGAAGCTGACGAACGAATCCGCTTCCCGGTTCCTCCCGCCCGACCGCCGCGCGCGCCCCCCCGCTCCTCTAACGCCGGGAGCCTGGAGACAAGGCCACGCTGGTCCGGCCGCAGCCCTCGCGCGGGAGTCGGGGGTCCTTGCCGCTGCCAGAGAGAGAGCCGAAGGGGTCGTGTCTTCCCGCAGGGCGCCGCCCCACTGAGCGCACTCCGAGCCAATCCTTCCGCATCTCACTATAAGTATTACGTGTCCCCAGTGTCCCTGGAAGAGCCTTAAAATCGAAAGGGATGTTAGTGATCATTCTAGACCAGGGCTACCTGGGCAAATTTAGATTTTCTAGTAGTCTCATCAAAAGAGCAAAAAGAAACAGGTGAAATTAATTTTAATGATATATTTTATTTAACCCAATATGTGCAAAATATTTCAAAATATACCCATATTTCCCCATGTATAAGACGCACCCGTTTTCGAAAAATTTGGGGTCTAAAAACTGGGTGCGTCTTATACAGTGGTTGTAGATTTTTTTTACTTGCATTTCCCGCTTTTTTCGCGCTTGTTTTTGTGCTCATACAACCACTGGATAAGACTCACCCAGATTTCAGACCCCAAAGTTTTCGAAAACGGATGCGTCTTATACATGGGGAAATACAGGGTACTCAATATTAATTATAAATATTTTACCTTTTTTTCTTTTTATCTTTGAAATATGGTGTGTATTTTATATGAACTAGCTACATTTCATAGTCAAATGTGGCTCTGTATGGGACAGCAGATATGGAGACTTCCCTCTCACGTTATAGAAGGAAACAGGCCCAGAAAGGTGAGATGATGTGAGTCAGGACTGGGAGCTGGCTGCTGATAGAGCCAGGTCCTCTGATTCCCAGCCACGGGACTAGTCTATCAGCTTGTTGTTGTTGTTGTTGTTAAGGAGACATTTTAAAGGTGAAACTGGAAAGCTTTCTAACATCTTATACATTAAAAGTTCAAATATTTCAAATTATCTTTTTTAAAAAACAAAACTATTATTTAATAAAGTAGATTAGGATATGGTAGGCCCAAAATAGGTATCACTTCTATTAGCTGAGAAAAATAGGCATAGAAAGTTTATATACATTATTCAAAATCATGTGGTATGTTAGAGGTGAGACTCAAACTTAGATATTTCTCCCCTCAAAGCCCACAGCCTATGCTCTGTCCACCACTGCCAAGCAGACCAACATGTAACAAAAAAGTCACCAAACATGACATCTTGGGGGGATTGAGAAGCTCTGATTTTACTATCTACAATATGCTACATGTGGGTACATATTAATACAACCTCCCTCTTTACCTGGAAAGTTCTTTTTCGTTATACATGTATACAAATCCTACTTATCCCTCTAGGGCCAGACCCAGTTCACTTGTTCCCTCTTCTATGTGGTCTTCCTGATTTCCTCTTCACCCAGTCCCAGTCTCTAAAAGAATTACAATACAATAAATTTACTCTGTGCTGGGCTAAACTAGACGTTAGACATATAAAGATATATAAGCCCCCGTCATTGCATGTGGAAGAAAGATGGACACCCCGTGGAATTTAGCATGCAACCTTTTGATGTTTTCTACTTCACGGTTCTACCACTGAATTGTAATCTCTTTATACTCCTTAAGCAGGGATTATGACCCAAACATGCCTGTTGACACATAGACATCTTACCAAGGAGCTTCTCTTTATGTTTGTAAAACAAATTCATGTGGCCACAGTATTCATAATCTGAAGATTAGGCCATCAAAATGAGAGACACAATATGAAAACAGATACTAAATAAATAAAGCCTAAAATTGCAGAAGGAAGCAATCTGAACATGAATCATCCCTAGATTTCACCCTGATGCAATAGCTTGTAATTTTGAATTTTAACATTGTCATTGTTTCCAGGATAAAAGCTCTACTCCATAAGACTCAAACTCTTGCCCAGAACAAATTTCTAGCAAACTTGTCATCAGAAACAATTACCATGCAAGACAACTTTTTTCTACTTTGTTGTCTTGTTTTTAGCTTTACTGAGGTATAATTGACAAGTAAAATGGTAAGTTATTTAAAGTGTATGTACACTGTGGTGATTTCATATACATATACATATACATATACATTGTGGAAGGATTCCCCCCATCGAGTTAATTAATACATCCATCATCTCACATATTTACCCTTTTTACCACCTTGGTGAGAATATTTAAGTTCAACTCACAGCAAATTTTAGTTACACAATACAATGTTATCAAATATAGTCACATGTTATACATTAGATCCTCATACCTTATTCATCTTATGATAGAAAGTTTGTACCCTTTTACCATCCTCTCCCTATTTCCCCCACCCCCCCAGCCCCTGGAAACCACTTTCCTACTCTCTCTTTCTATGAGTTTTACTTTTAAAAAAATTTGTTATTCCACATCATGTAAGTGATATCATACTGTATTTGTCTTTCTTTGTCTGACTTATTCACTTAGCATAATGCCCCTAAGGTCCATCCATTTTGTAATAAATGGCAGGATTTCCTTCTTTCTCATGGCTGAAAAATAGTCCATTGTATATGTATACCACAGCTTGTTTATCCATTTATCTACTGCTGGACATTTAGGTTGTTTCCACACTTTGGCAATTGTCAATAATACTGCAGTGAACATGGGAGTACAGATATCTCTTCGGGATAATGGTTTAGTTGTTTTTGGACATATACCCAGAAGTGGGATTGTTGTATCTTTCTTTATTTTCTTGATAATTAAAATTTTTCCTTTCAGATTTGTAAAAGATTTTAGAATGTGTAAAATACAGTTTATACATGTGGTGTAACTATTACTGACATTTCCCTGAGAATTCTTTGAGTCAACCTTTGTATGAGTTTACTTTTTCAACTGTGCCCGCTCTGGCAACCATCTCACCTGTATTAGAATCCATGAAATAACTGACTAGTCATTCAGTAATTATTTAAGGAGCACCCATAGGGTACATAGTCCAATCTCTTGTTTCTTCAAGTCCAGCCTACCATCTATTATAACTTTACTAGACAACATTAAATATTTTAGAGGTGAATAAGGATACAATCTTGTTTTTCTAATAACTAGTCATTATAACAATAATATGACTTTAATATACACAGCATTTCTTGATGGAATCTGATTAGTGTGCAAATAACAGCCATTATGTTTTAAATGACCAAAGCTGGAAACAGTTTGAGACCAGTTTCTCAAAATGGGACATAAAGATTTCTGGGGGAAGTTTTCCAGTACCTAAACATTTTCTGGCATCAAATAGACTGGACAGAAATAATTTATAGAAAAGAAGTTGGTCAAGGAAAAGGAATATTATGACAGACAAGTGGAACAAAGGCTAAGTAAAAATCTAAAATTTGGGTGCTGATATTTGATTACATTGACTTATTTAATTAATAATTATTTAATATAAATGTGCACATAGTACATTGCTAGGCTTTTCTCTCAAGATGCTTGAGATCATCTGAGTTGGGGAGACATGTCACCTAAGCTCTATCTATCTTCACATTCTTTATTTACTTCATGTTCTTCAAAGAGCAAGCTATAATATAAATAGTAACTGACTTCACTTAACTTCCCATTCACACCTTAACCCACTGTGAAATCAGTTTCCAACTCCACCCTCTTGAAACACCTCTTACCTGACCTTCTTGTTGCCAGTTCCAATGAACATTTATTGTTTATCTTGTCTTTGCTTATCCTGTTTCCTCTCCTGAAATGTTTTCTTCCTTGTCCCACACCCATCACCCTCACTTTATTGGCTACCTCCCTAATTCCTCCTCTCCTCTATGGTTGAATTAGATCATATAATTTGTGCTTATCACATGGAATGAAATATATATTAATGTACAGTTTTCCCCCATTTAACAGATGGGTAGGGAACTTGCCTTGGTAGTCTTAGGTTCCCTAGCACTTAGCATTGTATATGTGCTTCACAAGATGACTGCTGAGTGAATTAAATAATTTACAAATAAATTAACTAACTTGAAAAGATAATAACAGCATGAGATGTCACGGGGCAATGTGTGATTATGATTCAAACAAATACTATAAGCTGAGAGGCAAAGCGATCATTTTTGGGCAGAGGTAATTGCAGATAGGGGAGAAGACACATAGAATTGGAATTGACAAGAGAAAATTCACAAAAGGTATGGATGTGAGAAAACTGATGACAAAGTAGAGACTCAACTACCAGTTGATTCATTAGAAAAAAATAAAAGAAAGTTATCTAAAATTAATTTTGAAAATATTTTGATATTGGGGTTATCCAGTCAAGAAACAAGAGTGGCTACAAACCTAAGACTTTTAGCACAATTCTAGGGAGAGGGGAGAGGAAAGAGAGAGTTTTGAAATGAAAAAAGGTGGATTAAGTGAAGTCCTTCCACGCTGAATGTTAAAACTCTTCCCCTGCCTCCAGCAGACCACCTGAAAGGCTCAGCTCCCAAAATTGCAGACCTTATATACACCTGCTTTCAACTTATCCCAATCACAATCTTATCTCCTCCTTTCCCATTCTAAAAGGAGGTGGAGAACTCTTCCAGGAATAAACAGTGGCATCAAAAACAACAAAAGAGGGGCCGGCTGAGTGGCTCAGTTGGTTAGGAGTGCGAGCTCTGAGCAACAGGGTCACAGGTTTGATTCTCACATGAGCCAGTGAGCTGCGCCGGAGCTGCGCCGGAGCTGCGCCGGAGCTGCGCCGGAGCTGTGCCGCCGTTGAGCTGTCAACAAGTGGCAGTGTAGCTCAGCTGGTGAGAGCATGTGCTCCTAACAACAAGGTTGCTGGTTCGACTTCCACATGGGATGGTGAGCTATGCCCACCCGCAACTAAGATTGAACATGGCACCTTGAGCTGAGAGGCCTTGGGCGGCTGGATGGAGACCGGACTTGGAGCCACAACTAAGATTAAAGGACAACTTGGCTGTTCCCCTTTCTCAATTCCCCAACACTGTTTCCCTTCTCCAATTCCCCAATA